GGGGGGGTCGGATGAGCACTCCGCGTTGCTCCTTGGAAGCGGGGAGTTCACTTCCAAGCCCCCGTTTTTAGCTGGTGACGCTTTTGCAGCCAGCCGTTGGGAGAGCGGGGCACGCGGCCGGCAGTCTTAGAATGAGTTTGCAGATGGGAGAAAACCGCCTTATTTGGGAAAAGGGACAGTTTATCTCTGAAAATCTCTGATGATGCTGCCTGCTGAGCAGTCTGCCCTGCCTGGCTTCGGAGGGGGCCCTCTGGGGTGAGGCGCTCCCCTGCACAAGCCCCACTGGAATTCCGGCAGGGCTGGTCAGAGGGCTGAGGCGCAGTGGACCAAGAGACCAACAAGGGCGTGACCAGCCGAGCAACGTCCCTCCGAGCCAGGCCTTCCTTGACCACATGTTGCCGGAGACCTTTGAAAGCACAGTTCAAAACCGGGTGGGGTTCCGGCTCCCCACATTCCAACAGCCCTGGTTCTCTTTGAGTATTTCCTTCTGGATTTTTTTCAGATTCTCTGTTTGCTCAGATAACGCAGGTTTGGCACGCCTAATCTGATCACTCAGAGGGCGCATAGACTCAACCATCTGTCTTCAGCAGCTGCAACTCACTTGCTCTTCATTCAAAATACTTTGGAATCTCCAGTCCAGAGATACCTTCTCTGTTTGCTGGAATATTTGGATTCCTCTCCAGCCATTGTGCAGAGAAGGCTCGCTGGTTCTTGAGAGGGCGCATCCTATACATCTGAGGCTGGGAAAGCATTTTTAGGGTTATTTTTGGAAATTAGCGACTTTCTAGCAGCATGTATCACCTGTTTTTTAAGCCCAACTAATTTTCTCAGATTTGTCAGGGCAGTATAATGCCTTCTGGAATTCTATCACATGACCCAGTGCTAAACATTAGATTTGTCCCATCCATACCAAATCTTTAGTCATCAAATGACACCTTGTATTACAACTTCTGGCTTCCTTGCTCACAGAATAGGTATGTTCTCCTGACTCACTTTCCTCCATTAGCACAAATTTCTGGTTTGCCAGTACTGTATCCCTCTGAACCAGAAATTGAATGCATGAGGTGGGTTCAGGCTTGGCAAAAAAGTAGTCTGGCTTCTTTATATGTACTGGAAACAGAGCCAGTAGGTCTCTATCCCAGACGAACTACAACCTAGTCAAGATGCAACAGAAACAATGGAAAAAGAAGGAAGTGAAGGCAAATGGGAAGAAGAAAAATACTGCTGTACTCTGTATTTTGGTTTAATCACACTGTGGGCTAAGGGAGGGCTAGGAGGAAAGAAATACAGGCACTTTAGGGGGTGGGAAGTTGCATATATTATGCAGAGAAAATCCAACATAATGCGGAGAGTTCTTAAATTTTTGGAGTTACATAACATTGACTCAGGTTTCCCCAATCTGGCACCCTCCAGATATGCTGGGATTAAAATCCCCTGAATTCCTAGCCAGCAGAGCTAAATAAATCACATCAATGTCACAGAACCACTAATGGGTTGGAAGTTTGTTCAATATTTATATATTAAAAAAATGGCTGCCAAGGAAAAGAGAAGATATACATTTATGTGTCAGGTACCAGAGTACGTTCAGCCATACCGATTCATCACACTTTTCTGCCTAGACCATAGTCCTTACATGCAAGAAAGGGTGGGTGAGTATGCAAACATTTGAAGCAACTGGCAATATTTTTCCACATAAAGATTCCAACCTCAAAACAGCTGCTAAGGTTTATTGACAGAGGAGAAGCTGCTGACTTCTCAGACAAAGGGTTTTGCACTGCCCAGCACAAGCAAAGAGAGGAGAAAAGGGGGCTCATCCTTGGAAAACAAAGATATGTGTATGTATGGTTGTAGGAGGGGAGTAAGCATATTACGAAGAGAAGAGTGCCAGGTCCCTCCCGGGGATCACCACCCTTCCTCTTTCTCTAAGTCAGTGTTTCTCAGTCTCAGCAACTTTAGGATGTGTGGACTTCAACTCCCAGATTTCCCCAGCCAGGAGGGTCCACACATCTTAAAGATACTGAGATTGAGGAACACTGAACTATGTTCTGGGGTGTTACAGATCATTACATTGCCAGTCCTTGTTCTTGAATGAGGAGATGCCCCTCCCTTGGACCTGGATGGGGTAGAACAGAAGATCCTACTTCCCCAGGACTTTTTCAATAAATGGCTTCAGTTTTCCCTTTTTTAAACAGGGCTATGAGGCCCCAGCAGGTTTGAAGCCGTGGTGCTAATACAAACTCAGTGCTCACAAAAAGTAAAGGATGTTTAACTTAATAAACACAGTGAAGTAAAGACTTCAGAAAATAGCTACATCATTGCTTGAGACTTCATCTGCCACCAACACTGGCAATCACTGACCTGGAAAAAGGAGTAGACAGACTTGAGTAGGAGCAGAGTTAAAACTATCTGCAGGGTCTACACTACCCCTGCCAACCTCACTTTATTAGTCTTAGTTCTCCTAGGACTTTGGGGGCACATAGCCTGTCTCCTGGGCCCAGTCAGGAAACCTGCTTCTAAAGTTCTTGCTTCGAGGACCTTCAGCCAACCACTCCTTGGCCCAAAGAAACTTCTAACTTCCTCTTTCCCTAAAGCCCACTCTTCTGCCTCTTACTGGAAGAGGACAGAGTCTTTAGAAGGGTAGAATGCTAACCTGCAAAACCATAGACACACTACATTAATGCACAACCACTGTTTTCTAGGAAAAAAATAATATATACACCAGTGTTTCTCAACCTTGGCAACTTTAAAATGTGCGCACTTCAACTCCCAGAATTCCCCA